TGTCATTAACAATTCTGCAGCCCATTCCCAGAGAATAGACCCTGAGCCAAATACAATGACACCTTCCCTCCTAAATAAAAGGAGGTAGTGCAATTCTGAGAAAGACCAAAGATCTATAGTTAGCCATTCCCAGAGTGCATCACTGAAAACTATACACTAAAGAGGTCTCCAACCATACTAGCAACAAACTTTTCCAGTATAACTAACCCAATAACCTCAACAGAAAAAAACAACAAAACTAAAAACACAAGAAGACAAGGCAAGAAAATGTCTCTCAGACTCCCAAAGCTCTCAACTTCTACAAAGCTCATCTGTGAGACAGTGGAGCAGGGTGGCACAAGCCTGTAATCCCAGCACTAAGGAGGCTGAGGCAGTAGGCAGCAGGATCACTATGAATTTAAGGCCAGCCTGAGCTACGTGATGAGTTCAAGGCCAGCATGAGATTCTGTCTCAAAAACCAAGGTCAGGGGGTACAAGCTGATCTATGAGACCATAAAGTAGTGAGAAAACAGGTCTGGCAAGGGTAGATTTCAGAAGAGGCTGGACCCAAACGTGTTGGTATTAAGTCCAACAGAGTCCTGCAGCAACTAGAGGAGAACAAATTGAGTTCATGACCAGCCTGAACTACATAGCAAAAGCCTGCCCTCAAAAGAGAAAGAAAGAACAAGAAAGCAAGAAAGAAGAGAGAGACAGAGACAAAGACAGAAACAGAGACAAAGACGAAGACAGAGACAGAGACAGAGACAGAGACAGACAGACAGGCAGACAGAGAATATGACCAACCAGACCAGACCAGACCTTCTAGGTCATTCCTCAGTGACCCACCCCTCCAACTAGGCCTCTTCTCCCAACATTGTAGATCTAAACTATAACAGATATACACAAGGATTTGTCCAAAAGGGTATTCATGGCACTATTTACAATAGTAGAAACCTGGGAAACCAGAAAACCAACAAAACAACAACAACAACAACAAAAAAACACTCATTACATACAAACATTAAAATCAATTTTATGATAGATAAAAACACTGTATATATTCTGGAAAGAAAATAAGAAAGTACTACCACACAAAAGCATTTCTAAGTTTTGCTGATCTATATGTTAGTCAAAATTCAGGACATGGGAAAAAAAAGAACAAAAATAATAGTTTATATATCTTATTCCTTTATCATTTAGTAAGAAAACTTATTTGCAGCAAATTTAATCTATGTATTAAAGTATGAATTTACATATTGTATACACTTATAATAGAAAATTTAAAACTATAATAATCTAGAGCTATAAGGAAGTAGAAGGCCAGGGATATAGCTCAGTGGCACAGTGCCTGCCTGGCAAGCTCGAAGTTGTAAGTTCAATTTCCAGTACAAAAGAAAAAGTAGAAAAAGAATTTTAAAGTACATTAAAACTGAATGGAGTCAGGCAGTGTCAAACGTAAGGACATCAGAGAATTTTTAAAAAACCAACAGCATGGGGCCGGGGAGATCTAGCTCACTAGAATAAGCGCTTGCCTGGCAAGTGCAAGGGCCTGAGTTCAATCCCCGTTCCAACAAAAAAAAAACAAAAACAGCATGGCGGTACACACCTATAATCCTACCACTCCAGAGGCCAAGACAGGAGGATCACAACAATTCAAGAGTTCAAGGCCAGCCTGAACTACATAGGGAAACCTTGTTTCAAAAAACAAAAACAAAACAGTTACCAAAACATATAAAGTCAGATTAAGTAATCTTAAACCCAGTAAAACTATTCCAGGCAACCTATCAATTGTCTCTGTGTGTACCGTTTAGTTGTCAAAAAGTATACCAAGGATAAAGCACCTGCTTTGAGCACAAGGTCCTGGGTTTGATCCCCGACACCAAGAGAAAAAAAAAAGAGAAAGTATACTGACAGCATATCCCAAGAAGCTGGATATGCCTGAGCCTATCGCTAGACACTGACTTTCTACCTGTGGTGGACCTAACCATGACGGAGCGATGCCTAACACACCTGCCAGACACTAAGCGTGCCATCAGAGTCTCACAACACTTCCAAAGGTGACATGACAGGCTCACACAGGAAGGCAAGATATGGACAGATGACTTACCTCACTGAGGCTCTTTGTACAGCTGAGTACCTGAAAGTCCTTTAAAGGTGCTAAATATGACAGTGTGACATTGGCAAACTGTATGTGTAGCTGCTATGCTCCTAGCTGTATTCCCCTAATAAATCCAAATATGAAAGCAAATTTAAGTAAAACTCACCAATATCTTTTCAGCTACTGTAATTGCAAGCAATAGGAACGATCCAGGCTAAATGTATTTTATTCTAAATCATCATTTTCAAGAAAGCAGTAGCTTCTCCCCACCCCACCCCCTTTGGCCTGTGTGTGGAATATGTCTCTCAGCAAGATCTGGCATACTTTACATACTCATATCAGCTAAAACCAGCAAAATATTAGTGATTTCGTAAGTATTTATGATGTAAAAGGAACACTTTTCAAAACAAGCTTTGAATAGTTATTTTTCCTTATAGCATTATTTTTCTTTATAGCATTAGTTCTCCTAAACCAAGAACATTAATGGGGCTGGGGGGTGGGGCGCAGCACATGCATACGAACCAGAGTCACATATAGCTTATGACAACACAAATCTATCCTGCGCAGCTGTGACGAGAACTACATGAGTTAATACATGCAAAATGCTTCTTCTGATGCTTACATACCTCACGCCACACAAGTCCATCTGTTATAGGAAGGGACAGGCTTAGATGTAGCCATTTGGGTTCTTTATATAAAACGAACCCTTTTAGTGATCAGGATTTTCTTAGGATCCAAAGAGTCACATTAGTGAGTTAACTGTCCCTAATCCTTAACAGATGTGAAAGACAGTATAGCTTAAAGCACAGTTTTAGAGGAGCTATCTCACTCATGTTACAAAGAAAAGCAGTAGACTTTGGAATCGGCGGCACAAGATGGGAGAGATAGTATGAGACAATTCCAAGACAAGGAGATGGCACAGTCAGGCAGCCAACACTAACACTGATGGGACAGGACAGCAGACGGACATGGTGGAGAGCCTCCCTCTCCAGTCTTGCCAGGAACAAGGGGAACTTAATACTTCCTTCTGACTTGGGGTTTGAGTTTATCCAGCCCACTTGGGGACTTCTGAAGCCCCTTCTCACTGATGCAAAGAACACTGGAACAGAGGTAACAGGGACGACTCAATGAAAAGCGTTGTACTGCATTTCACACACATTTTCTTAAACATGAAAGAAAATAACAGAATAAATTCCAAGTGTAAGATGAAGTATATTGCCAATTTACTTACATTCCCCCTGAAATTTCAGGAACAGGTTTCAGAAAGCTTTCCTAATACAAACAGGTCATCTGACAAATCATGGGTGAAATACACAAAAGATAAGAATATCCTCAGTGGTCTGCAACACACTGAGATCTGTTCTGTGCCTCATCCATGCCCTATACTGAGAAAAGAAATGTGAAGGAAAGAGAACTGCATTCAGGAAGAATTTCAGCCGCATGAACAAGGCAAGTGCTAGACTGTGGGGGACTGCACAAGTGGAACTCAGAATGCTCTTGAGGGTGCTAAATTCTGTTGCACCTTCACTCACATTTTAAGTGACTTTTACACAGCAAAATTCAAATCCATTCCCTATAATGAATGTACAATATTTAGAAATTAGAAGAGGAGGAAAAAGAGAAGAGGAAGGGAGAAGGAAGTGAAGAGGATAAAAAAAAACAGAGAAAAGAATAGTAACTGAAGGAGCCAACACAGCTTCTCCAAGTATTATGTATGACTTTACTTGAAGCCACAGATTTTCCAAGTGAATGGTACAGATCCTGAGGCTGAAGATAATGGTCAATTATACAGCTATGTTTGCAAGGGCATGTAAATAAACCAAAGGCTAGGGCTCTAAGACATGTCCAGATAAACTGTATTTTAAAATAACTGGGGTACAGATAATAAGCCATAACACTAGAGAGGCACTAACATGTATTAGTTAATGTTTCTGGTTTTACTTGATTCCACATTCAATAAATAGCATATGTTGATTCTTATAAGCATTAAGGCATAGTGTTAAATTTTCTAGTGTCACAAATTCATAACCCATAAGCTCCTACATATCCTATGTTTGTATATTATCTTTAACCATAATTAAATCTGAAAAGTCTTGTTTATTTCATCCCACTGTATAAAAAACAGTGGCTACAGAGTTCCTACATTTTTTGAAAAAATTAACATTGCAAAGAAAGTATTATTCATCATTTCTACACTGTTCTTATTATCTGAAAGGGTGCAGTAAATGCTCGCTAAGTGAGTGAATAAATGAATCAAGGATATATTCCAGCTACAGTGGTACCTCAGTTCACAAACTCAATTCTTGCCACAATTCTGTTTGCAAACCAAGCTGGAAAAGAACTGAATCAAATTTCCCCCTTAAAGTCAACAATGAACTTAATCATCTCATTCAGTTCTCATCGAATTCAATTTGAGACCAGAATCATAGAAAAAATTACATCTCGAGCCACAGTATCACTATATTACAAATGGCAGAATATGATGAGTTACCCAAAGTAATAATTAATGCAAAGAACATTCTATTTAGTTTTTGTGATCTGACAGTATGTGTGTGTGTGTGTGTATGTGTGTGTATGTGTGTGTGTGTTAGATTTTCATAATTAAGCCACGGTAATGTTCTATTTATAGCTGTACAGACACACAGACACATTTAATACTATGGACCAGGGATGTAGCTCAGTGGCACAGTGCCTGGCAAGAGCAACATCATAAGTATAACTCCCAGTACCAAAAACACAAGACAGACATATTTAACACTAGAATGCTAGCAGTAGTATGTAACTAGGAATATTTGACTAATAAAAATAATTCTCTGTATATTACCTTTAACAAAACACATGCAAGATTCAAAGAAACAATATATATGTCATCAAGGACTAATATAAAATAAAAAATTAAAATAACAAAATATGAATATTCTACCTGAACGTCTTTATACTTGTCTCTTAAGTCCAAGAGCCGGTGATAAGCCTTAATTGCTTCTGAAAATTCTCCAACATCAGTACTGGTGAGGATGTAGTTTTCCCAGATTTGCCAGTGTTCGTAGTTACACTTGAGAGCTTCTTGTAAGGTTCTAAAAGCTTTTACTCTAGGAAGGTCAAATGTTAAAGAGTGTAATTAGAACTATTTTAACTAGAATACATCACTAAGCATACTGAATGCCAATACCAAGTATCAGTCGTCATCATTCATGTTAATGCATAGATTTTAGAGACCCTCAAATTTCCCTGTAAAATTCAATGACAGACTTTTAGTATGTAAGATACCTACAGTGACAACTGAGTGTCAAGCATACTATCAACCCAGAAGGCCCATGCAAGTTTCAGACATGAACCCACAATGGCCAAGCAGGCACAACTGTAAGACAAGACAAAAAGTGGGACACAACTGAAGTCCAAAACAAAACAGCTCCAGTGGGGAAAAATCTACAGTAGGAAGGACAATTGATAAAATTAAGCAACATGACATAAATTTACTACCAATAAAATTTAAAGAAACAATCTATGAAAGCTTTAAGAAGATTTTGTTTAGAATACTGAAAAAGCCAAATAAATAATTCATATTTAAAAGGAACAGGAGATTATGAAACAAAAATAAGTAAAAATGAAACAAGAACAAGGCAATAGAAATAAAAACACACCACAAAGTTTAGAAAGAAAAAAAACAAAACTCAACAGCTAACTAGAACTAGACTGCATATAGTCAGAAGAGAAAACTGGTGAATTGGAAGATAATGAGTTAACAGGGAATTTGGATTAAAAAATAAAAAACAGGAGACAGGAGCAAATGAGGTAAGAAATTCTAGAACAAAAAAATGCAAAAATTCACAGGATACTATATGTAAAAGATAACAGATGAGCATTTTCCAGACCAAATAACACAGACATATTATATGAAACTACACAACACATACTCTAAACCTACAAAGAAATAACAATTACAGAATAGAAAATATTTCATCAATAACAAGATGATGGAAGAGGATACTTCTCTTAAAGTGATGAGTAAAAATAACTGTAAGCCCAAATTTTATAACCAGCTACACTTGTCACTCATAGTAAATGTAAAGCCAAGCATTTTTAGAGTTTCCCACCTGTTAACCCTAACTAGATCCCCTCTTGTAAAATGAAGGGAGTTCAAAAGAATGAACACTTCAAAATTCAAACACAAATCATATAGGAATTCCCTACTTTACTCCTTACCACCACATGTAACAGCAACTGCCTTCAACTGTGGTATACTAAATTCTCTTATTTACAGAAGGATAGAAATGAGATTATCATTTTGAAAAGTAACAAGCAACAATTCACACTGTGAGGATTATCCTTTCTCCTGTATGTCTACCTTCTAGACACAAACTCCTTGCCTCAAAATTTTAGAAATAAATTATCTATTTTTTGTTTTATTTTTATTTTTATTTATTTATTATATTTTAGGGGTCTACAGGGTATTCAGGGTCTCACTATTAGATCAGACTCATAGTGATCTGCCTGTTTACTTCCAAGAGCTGGGATTATTTGTTCAGAATGCCTTTTTATAGGCTCCCTGTCAGGATTCACTTATCAAACCCAGCATGGTACAGATATTGCACTATGATAGTTATACAATATCCAAAATGGACAACTTTCCTGGGGATTGGACAGGATGCCTGGGGAAATGAGATGTAACAGTGAAAGCAGCACTTCAGTGAAGAACCCTGTGATGATAAGCCTAAACAAGATAGTTAAGTAGGCCATTTTTAGGGCATGAATATGATTGTTTGAGAAGAGCAGTAATGATTTATCTCTGAAATAACAATTTCATGAGCCAAAAATTAGCTATGTCCAGAGCAGTAGTAAAGAAAAGAAAGAGTAAAGACTAGAACAATGCAATGATTTACCTCTGACCTTGCAAATCTAATTTTATATACAAAGTTATTCATGAAGGAGCAGAAAGGCAATAGAGTCTTAAGAACAATACGCAAGAATTGTCTACACCAAATTCCAAAGATTAGTGATCTAGAAGTCAAAACAGATGATATCAAGAGCTGTACTACATACAAAATTACCTTAGTAACTGGAAAAACTCATTACAATCACTCTATAACTATGATGGGGATTTCTCCTACTCACTGCCTTCAAACCAGAGGTCTCCAGTGAGTTCAATATAATCAGCTGCAATCAAAACCATAATATTATTTTCTGAAGAAACTCTAGAACAAATAGTACTTTATTTATGTAGATTATCATCCAAGAACAGAGGAAGCATTTCATGATTTCAATGTCTCCAGAAATATCTTGTGACTCCACAAAGACAAATTAAATTTTTAAATAAGGCCAAATAAAAATGGAAATATATCCATTAGTTAACATGTTAAAACTTGGGCAAGAGTAGTTGTCGCTTCCCTTTCCCCTGCTTTTTGTAGCCAGTCAATAAGCCAGTCAGTTGTCCCCTTTATAAACTGTTTGGCATCTGCCCTTTCTTTTTCCACTTCAGTTATCTCATGCCTGGATTGTTATAACAGCTGTCTCCTAAATGGTTTCCCAGCCTCCAGTTTCCTCTCTAGTTTGCTTAACACACTGCTACCAGATAATTCTTCCATTAAAAAAAAAAAAAAAAAAAAAAAAAACCCACAAAACTTCTTTCCTCACACATTAGCCAAAATCTCTAGCTTTCTATTACCAACAAGATGATCTCTACTTGTTAGAAAATCAAAACACACAGCAATTTGACCCAAACTTACCTTTCCAATCTTCTCTCTCACCATGAGGCTCACATTACGCAGTAGCTGGACTATATTACCTCTTACCTTCTAAAATAATTCATTCCCTTCTGTCATTCTATATTTGGTCACATTGTCTCCCTGGCCTAAAAGACTTCTCATTTGTCCTCCATTCCTACCCTTCAAATTCAGTTTGGGTCCGACATTAGTATTTCTGAGCCAGGACCAGACATCGCTCTTCTGAGATCCTGACAGGGCTCAATGAGTGCCTGACACATACCAAGTGCTCTACAAATATCACCTACTATTACTGTAGCCCCCTTTGTCTTCTCATTTGATATTTGCCACATATAGCTTATATCACTAACCAATTTTTAAAATAATGTGACATAGTATTTTATTTTTAAGCTATAATTCCTAAATATACTGATTCATAGTTATTTAGAATTTTCTGTTATGTCTAGTACAAAGCAATTAATAAAATGGAGCTGGCCAACTAAAAACATGCTTCCTTTTATCATGTAATGAAAATTACTATGCAAAACCTAAACACCAAATAAATACTTTTATTTCATTCATACACACACACACACACACACACACACACACACACACACACACACACACACATATATATGTTTTTGGTTTTTGTTTTGGTGGAACCAGGGATTGAACTCAGACCCTTCTCCCTTGGCCCCTATTTCCTTATATCTTAAATGTTTTTAAGAAATAACCTGCCCACTTAGAATTCAAGGAATCCTGTAAGTTGTTCTAATTCATACAAGGATGTAAATGGGGGGGGGGGATAGCATAAAACACAATGCTTCAATATTCAGTTGGAGAAATTAATCATTCATTAATTTTGGAAGCACGGTTCTTCATATTTCTCTGATGTACTTACTTTTGTTTTAATCGGATATAGGAAGTTGATAAATTGTTCCAAGCCTCAGCATTCTGAAATGACAGAGCCAGTTATAGAGTATTCTCATTGGGAAATAACTGCTGAAACCAAAAATACAATAGTCCAATATATGGTCTTAAAAATCACAATTTTGAATAAGGTACATTTAAGGTAAAACATAAAATTAAACCAAAAGTAACATATAATTCATAAACATTTCAAAAATTAGTCAAGCAATAATATAACTATTATACTACTGATTTGGTAATTTCTTAAGAGTTTATTTTCAAATTCAGATTTGAAACTTTACAGCATAATTCATAAAACACATTGATTTCTTACAAATCCAAGGAATACAGCACACTGGTTTCTATATTTTTAAAAGGCTTTGCCTTTTACCATCCTTCTTCATCAGATAACAGAGAAAGACTGAAGAGTGTTCTCCAGTGTTACTACTTTTTCATCAACCAAATGTATTTCTATACCTGTTCCTAATTCCATACCTATGAATCAAAAAATGAAGTGGTACTGAATCTCCCTTCCAGACAAGACAAAAGTCAGCACCAAAGTAGCCTTCTTGGGTTAGGGATATAGCTCAGCAGCATAAGCATCTGCCTAGTAAGCGTAAGGCTCTGAATTCAGCCCCCATACTGGGGAAAAAACAAAAACAAAAACAAACAAACAAACAAACAAACAAAACCCTAGCCCTCTCATCATAAAAAGCTACAGACTTGACAAAAATACATGAAACAACTATTTTGGACATGTGGACAACAGGCAGTATGAGCGTGTGATCCCGGAGAGAAGGGAAAAGCTAAGGGGTTTCAACCAATCAGCCTTCAGGCCCTTTCAGGACTGCAGCACAGAGAGGCAGAAATCAAACAAAGCAAGGCTTACTGAGATGAAGCAAAAAGGATCAGAGTTCAGGGTCAAAAGGAGATGGAATTTGCAGAGCAAAATACCACAGAACAGAGATGTGTGCTTCAAGAATGAGCTCTAAAAATTTCAATAAACATCCCCTGAATCTTTGGCCGAATACTGTCACCCAGATGCCAGGCAAAACTTCTTTGAAGTCTCACAAAGAGCAACCATCAGCGGGCTGGGAACTGAATGATAATTTGCAAGTCATATAGAAATTATTCAAATTCCAATCCAACAGATCAGAGATTCTTACTGAGCTCAGGCCACCAGTCATTTCTCACACAGGAGAAGACTGATTGGCTTCTAGCCCGGGAAGGAAGGAACTTTTTTTTTGTGCAGAACTGGGGATTGAACTCAGGTCCTTGCACTTGCCAGCAAGTTCTTATTCTACTGAGCTAACTCCCCAGCCCCCAAATCAGAGATTCTTATTCAAGGCATTAAATTTAATCCTAGAAAGGTTTAAGAAAAGGATTTTTAAGAAGGAAAATTCCAATTTTAGGCTTATCTTAAAGTTTAAATCAAGATGATCTATAAAGTAAAATTCAAAATAAAACCCTTCTTAAGAAAAATACAGCATCTACAATGCATAGGAAATAAAATGATAACTATGCTAAGAAGCAGAAAATTTTCATCCTTAAGGAAAGATCAGACCTGGAAATTAAAGAGATATTGGAATAAGCATAAAAGGGTTTTACTTACTATACAGATTATGTTTGTTTGTTTTTGTCTTTTTGAGACAGGGTCTCACTACATAGTTCAGGCTGGCCTTGAGCTCACTTTATCAAATTTACAATGATCCTTCTGCCTCAGTCTTCTAACGACTGGGATTACAGAAGTGTGCCACCATGCCCACTTAGACTGTGTTCAAAGAGTTAAAAGAAAATATAAACACAATGAGAGACTTGTTGGGAAACTTACTATAAGACATGAAACTTAAAAAGAACTAAATGAAAATTCTTGAACTGAAAATTTTACTATGTGAAGTAAGCTTAATGAATGGGTTTAATGGCATTATTAGACAGTGCAGTAGAAAGAATATCTCTAGACTGGAGAACATTGAAACAGAAAATATATCACAAAGCAAAACCAAAGCACAAACACACACACACACACACACACACACACACACACACACACACACACACAAACTATAACAAGTAAATAGAGCTTTAAGGACCTACTGGGCAAAGGAAGAAGTATAAAAAGGAAGGAGAAAAACAGATAGATTGTAACCCATAGTAAAGTGCTTACCTAACACATGTGAAGCTCTGGGTTTAACTGCCAGCATAGAAAACAAAACAAAATCTGAAGAAATAATAACAATTTTTCCCAATCTGATGAAATTTTACTCCCATAAATCCCAAAAGTTTGCAAAACCTCAAGAAGAATATATACAAAGAAAACTACACCAAGCTGCATAATTAAATTTCTAGAAAAAAATTAGAAAGACTTAAATGCAAAACTTTAATGCCCAGAGGCCGGGGAGATGGCTCAGTAGAATAAGCGCTTGCCTGGCAAGTGCAAGGGCCTGAGTTCAATCCCTCATTCCACCAAAAGGAAACAAACAAACAAACTTTAATGCACAAAGAAAAAATTCAACCAAAGAACACAAAGTTAATACACAAAAAACAACTTATTATTCTATCAGTGTACAACTAGGAAATATGTTTAAAACAACATAATATTATCAGACACATGATCATGAGATCTCACTTTCCAGTTTTTATTTAAGAAAACTGAAGACCTATGGCCACACAAATATTTGTACTAGAATTATAAGAGGAAACAACACAACACTCCATCAACAGAATGAGGTATAAACAAATTAGGAATATTCATATAATGCAATATCATACCTCAATAAGAAGAAATGAACTGCTACTACAACTAATGACATGGATGAAAATGTAAAGTACAAGAAGTCAGAAAAAGAAGTTCATAGCCTTTAAGTCTACTTACATGTAGATACAGAAAAGGCAAAGGTAATCTAAAGAGAAAAGATTAAGACACATAGGGACAAGAGAGCTCATAATGATGGCAGGTAGGACAGGAGAGCACCTCTGGGATGACTGAAGTGGTTCTACATTTGAAAGGGGTGCGAGTTCCACAACAGTATGCAACTGTGAGAACAGACGAAACTGTTCATGTAAGATCTGTGAGTGGCCTGGGCTAGGGCTTAGCTGGGGATACAGCTCAGAGGCACAGCACCTGCAGCATCTGCTTTGCAGGCACACGGACATGAGTTCAATTTCTGGTACCAAAAACAAACAACCAAAAGATTTGCAAGTAGTCTTTAAATTTTATTACACTTATGCTCAGCATGGTGGCATGTACCAATAGTATCCAGCACTCAGAAGGCCTGAGACTAGCCTGACTAACATAGTGACATGGTTGCTCGTGTGTGTGTGTGTGTGTGCGCGTGCGCGTGTATTTGTCTGCACTTAAAAAATAGAAAAGGGAAAAAAGTAGCACTGGGATTCCATTTCAAATATTTAGATAAGCTGATCTGCATATGAGATGAAAGCTAGATTCTAAAAATACAGGGATCCATTAAGTAAATGCCTGTTAATAGTGTGTTCATCAACTTTTTCTTAGCCCCAAAGAAGCTACTTTAGTAATTCAGTCATTCATGAATGCTAATTAACTGAAGTAATACACATGCATATAAAAAATGTGAGATGGGGCCGGGGAGATGGCTCAGTAGGATCAGCGCTTGCCTGGCAAGCACAAGGGCCTGTGTTCAATCCCCAGTTCCACCCAAAAAAAAAAAAAAAGTGAGAAGTTGGAAAGCATGAAGTAGAACAAGACTGGTATTTAACACTTTAAATAACGCTCTGCCACCATAATCACTACTTTTTGTTCATGACATCCATGGAAAGTAACCTTGGTGGAACACTGACATAAATACTCTAAACAACAAATGAAATAATAAACATTAGGGCCAGTGATATAGCTCAGTCAGAGAGGGTTTGCCTACCACGTGTGGAGCCGTGGATGCAACCCATACACTGAAGGGGAGAAAAGGAAAAGAAAAGGAAAAAAAGAGAAAAAATAAAGATTAGAGAAGAAACAGGAAACAGAGACTATCAAATTCATACAGAAACTTAATGAAACCAAAAGTTAATATAAAAATTTAAAAAAAAATTTTTTAAAGTTAAGTTGCAAATCTTTACACCAACCAAGTGGAAAAGAAAAAAAAATTGAGTTACTAAATGAATGAAAAGGGTCATTACTACCAAGCTAACAAAAACAAAAAGGATTACAATACAAGTAACTGCACGGCCAACAAATTATATGGCTAGATATAATGGACAAACTCCTAAAAAGACACACAGTATCAAGCTGTCTCTTTTAGGAAGAGAAAAATCTAGAGCTAGAGAGATAGCTCAGTGGACTAAGTGCCTGCTTAGGCACGCGCAGGGGCCAAGATCCAATCCCTGGTACCACACGCTGCACCAGCCCTGCTCCCGGGCATGCCAAGCTGGTGTCTGAGTCTGGGCATGGTGGGCGAAGGCCTGTAATCCCAGTGCTGGGGAGGCTGAGAACAGGAGGATCACTACAAGTTCAAGCTGCATAGTGAGACCCTGCACAAAATACGAGAGAGAGAGAGAGAGAGAGAGAGAGAGAGAGAGAGAGAGAGAGAGAAAAGAAAGAGAAAATCTGAATAAACCTGTAACAAGAGACGGAGTTAATAAAACCACCCCCACAAAATGCTGCAGGGGCAGATGCGCTCACTGGTGAATTTTACAAAATGTCCAAAGATGAATTAATACCAAGGTTCACAAACTCTTCCAAAAAATAAGAGACAGACTTGTAACTTATTCTATAAAGCCAGTATTTTTCCATTATGATTTATATTGAGATGCTCCAAAAGCCTCACATGCATAAAAGGTAGAGCTTTTAGAAGGTGACTGGATTATGATGGCTCACAGATGACTTGCTATTAGGAGGTGGAATCTAGCTGAAAGTGTGGGTCATGGGGGAAGTGGCTGGAAAGGTTCCTCTTCCTTCTCAATCTGGCTCCTCCCTTGGTGGCTCAGCTTCCAGAATACGTCATGCAGAAGCAGTTCTCTGCCCAAGGCCCTTCCAAAATACTGCTCTGCCTTGGAGCAACTAACTATGGACTGAAACC